TTGAATTTTATGATAATCTGCAGGTTCACACCCGGAGAGCTACAGATGACGAGTGACAAGTATTGGCAGGGCAGGGATTGCAGGGAGCATTGGGCGTCCATGCTGGTGAATATCTCTCGCTCCAGTCCGATCGGCAGCTGTAGCAGGGTGCAAGCTCAAGTTTCATTTCCAATTGCAATTCGACAGGGGTGGCCAAGAGTGTGGCACAGCCTCCGGGAGACTTCGGCATATCTTACTCGGATTACTCGACCTTCTGCAGACTTCTTCCTTTTCTTTTTTTTTTTCTGCACGCGCTTGGAACAAATCTAGGCTGGCGACTTGTGTCCTCGGCCGTTTTTGAGTCTCACCGTAAAAGAATTCAAAACCTCCATTCCGATGCCTCGTTACTGTGGATCGGCGATGCCAAATGTCGTCGTCCAACATGGATGGTCGAATGAGGGTATTTTTTTGTTTGTTGTTTTACCCTAGTACGTTCCGCCCATTATCCGCCCGGGTCTGAATTTCCCCGCCGGAAGCGCCGACTGAACCAGCTTCCGCACGGATGCAGCTCAATTCCACGTCAAATTGAAATATGTTTCATTCAACAGCTCCTGATTGAGAATATTCGACGAATAAAACGGCCGCATGTTAGGCTCTAGGACTCTACCACCAACTCTTACCCTACATCCGTCCAATCACACATCCTATCCATTACATTTCCGCGCAATGAGATTCTCAACCCTGTTGTTCGTGCTGTGCACCCTGCTCGCCGCCGCATGCGCGGCGCCGCTCGATGCTGCTGTGCGTTTTCTTCACATCTTCCGATTTACCCATGCTGACCTTCTATAGAATACTGTCGCTCCACGCCACTACCGCCTTGACAGCATAGCGGCCTTCAATGGCGCCTCTGATGCAGAGAAGAAAGCATTTCTCATGTCAATCAACCCCGCGACCTTGCACCTCCCGGAGGAGCTCCGAAGACAAATTGAGGAGAGTCCCGCTGGCAAGAAAGCTTTGGGCGGGAAGAAGTTCACAGATGAGATGGCACAAACGGCGCTGAGGCAATGGCAGGAGAGTCAGCGCGGGGATAAACACAAAGATTTATGAATTTGAAAGGAGAACAGAATTCGATTTCTCTGCGCGTATGATAAATGGGGTCGAGCGATCATAAGCTTCTTTTCCCAAGTCGATCGAATCAAAAGTATGGCGCTTCGACGGCGGTGGATGGCGCATCAACAGTGAGATAAGCGAGCGGGTGGCGCGGATCAGCTGCGGTCCGCGGTCCGGGCGGGAGGACACCAGACTGAGACAGGGGGTTGCCAAGGGCCCGCACGATCGGCGCTCTTATCTTTCGTCGAGCTTGCAAGCAAGTTCTTTTGTGAAACCCCGAGCTGCATGCAGTCTGGCTCTACGTGGCGGAAATCAAATAGGCTTTGGGTTGATTGCCTTCTCATTTACATCCGTCGTCAAAAAAAGTGTCAGGCTCACAGAGACAGTGGTACTACAGAGACTGGCCCATGGACTTACGGTGCCTGATGGACTCCAAGGTTGATGATCCCTTGATAAGGCTCAAACCTGCTCAAACCGTATTTCATGACAACCTTGGCAACGGGCCCGGGGCGAATATTTCATGCGCGCATCATTTCCAAGCGCCGACCGATGCAATCTTTCACCTTCACCTCCGAACGACTCACCAAGAGCGCCCTCATCGACGTTGAAGATCGCTCCGTCCGATATACAACCAGCACCGTGAAGCAGGGATTCGCTCGCCAGCGTACAACGCTCGAAAACAGTTCCGGGATCGCGTGCGCGACGATTGACTGGCGGGAGCGCACATTTGAGATAAGGGGGAAGAAAGAGAACATCGACCTGCTGAAGCGCAAGGTGTCTAATTTCTCACTGTGCGTATCCTGGTGTTGCGTTCCCTGGCGCGGTCTGACATGTGCGTTCAACCGCAGCACACGCTATTGGAAGTGGGCGGATGGCGAAGAGTATAAGGCGAAATACTCCAATTCGGCCAACATGTGGATTGTGCGCCTCTTTTTCGTTGGCCTCGTTTTCTGGGCGCCGATCGATGTTATGCTTTAGGTGACGACCTCCACCGGCGAAGTCGTCGCCGAACTCGTCTCGACCATCGAGCGCGCATTCAAGCCGAATTCCCCGCCTGTGTGTCGCATCGCGCGAAACGTCCGCAACGAAGATGAACAAGAATTTCTCCTGCTGCTTCTGCTGTACTCAGAGACGAAGCGGTTAGATCGGCAGGATTAGATCGGCTTTGAGATTGGGTATGGAGGGACGGCGAGATCCAGTGTTGGTTCCATTGCTTTATATTGTACATTGTCGAACTAATTTTAAAGGAGTGAGGGTAGTAGTTGAACTGCATAATACAAGACAGCCAAGCACACCAGTGGCTTGAAAACGAGACGCAGCACGACATAGGAAGAGAAGGAAACGATGAAGAAGTGCCAGAGAAACACCAGGAGCATGAAATGGTACCACCGCGCATCGGGACACGAAATCTCGCCCCTTTTAGCCTCGAAAGCGGGCGTAGGAGGCGGTGGAGGAGGCGACACCGGCGCTGGCCACCGATAGGAAGCTGGGTCCTCAAATTTTGAACGGGGCTTTGGTTTGGGCGGCGTTGTGGGGCTTATTTCCGGCGCAGGCGGAGGCTCGTTGGCGAGGATGTACCAAGTGGCATCGGGGTGGGATCGCGGGAGTGGGTTGCGATGCCGGCGTATGATGGCGTGGGCATCATCGTCCGTGATGGTGCGGAGCAGCGCTGCGCGTTTAAATGCAGTGGAAAGCAAAGTGTCGTAGGGATCGACAGACTGGTAGGAGTGTGAGCTTCCAGACGAATATTAGGCAGAGCGAACATGCCTGGTCATTTGAGGCAGAGGTTGGACCTGCGACTGGAGCGCTGTCGAGGGAACGGCATTTCCTTCGTACAGGTGGAGAGACTGAAGGGGACGGAGACGTGGGCGGCATGAACTTGGGTTTCAGTCGGACTTTGGGGATGGAGGATGTTCCGCGTTGGACGGCAGACCAGAGCTTAGTGGGAGACAGCGGAGAGCGTGGAGAGAGTAGTGCGGGTTCCGAGGCAGATTTAGGGCCCGCTTTGGGGATGACTATTTCTAAGCGACGATGCCATGGGCGAACACGAGGAGTCTCTGGTGTGGGCGGCAACTCGGAAGGCTGCGAGGAAAATCAGATATTGACCGACGAGATGATGAGAAGCGCACGGTAAAATCGTCACTCTCTGGTTCGTCAGACTCCTCAGCTGCATCGGGCGCCAAGAGGCCAGCATCAATGAGCCATTCTTCTACCTTCTATACGAAGAGACGATGAGTAAGAAGCAGCACATTGGCACGTCGAAGCCCGAACCTTCTGCGCTGAGTTTGGTCCGCAGGGCAGCTAGAGGACGGTTAAAACCGACTGCAAAAATCGAAGCGGGTGCGTACACCTACATCATCCGACTCAGGCTCCCCGGTTATGGCACAGCGAGCTTTGTTCTCCTTCCAAACGACTCTCCCGTGCTCGTACGAGTCTGCCATCATTTTTTGCAGCAGGATGAGTGTCGTCGCGTCGATGATGCCCATTTCAGAGTCGATTGGATTCCGCTACGATGTGGCGTTAGTCATTCAAATCGGCGCAAGGTTACATGGGCTTCGCACCGGTGGCAGATAGCGAGCTCTATCCACGACGAGTTTAATGGCAGGATTGTGTGGCATGGTCGGCGCGCAGAGGTTTCACAACGCAGGAGGAGGGGGGAGAGCGCAGAAGGGCGGCGGCGGAAGAGGGTGGGTGAGGAGAAGACGCTGGGACGATTCAGGTGCTTTATACTCAGGCAGGAGGTCTCTACATTGTGTGTTATGCTCGAGTGATGCGTACCTTTGAGCGCCCAAAAAGGAAACCTAACACTATAGATGAACTGCTCCACGTGTATCGCTTGCATTGTCCCCGCCAATTTCCATGCTGCTGGAGCTCTTCGGTGGCTGTCGGGAGTCGGAGTTACCTTGCTTTGTCCACAATAACACTCGACCTCAGAAACGCTGGCGCTTTCGATAAGCATAGTGAACTGACAACTCAGGATTTGAGACGAGTGTTGGGAACGCTATTTTGGCCTGGGATTCGACCATTTCGACCATTTTCACCGGCGCGGAGGAGCCAAGCTCGCCGGCATAAATGGTGGTCGAAGGAAACAAAGGTCGGCTATCACCGATCCCGACTTCTGGTTCATGCGTGACGTGATCCCATCACTTAGGCCTTGCTTTGAGATTGCTTTCACTGTGGCTTCCACTGCTAGAGGCCACCAAGAGGAGCCCAGCGACCGTTCAAGACAGAACTGAGAGCCCCAGTCGCCAAGAAAAGAAAAACATTACCCGGGCTTCCTTGCCGCCGCCGTTGTCGAACTGCTGTTTATTCGAACCAAATCCGATGGTCAATGCTTATGAGCAGTTGGCAACAGACTTTCACTTCACTTACTTTATTAGCTGTGAACTCCGGGAAGACAGAACGCTAATTCTAGATGTGCTTTCACCAGCATCTTGGAATGGTCTCACAGAATTTTCTTCTCCACATCGCAGACAGGGTCCAACCCTACCTGAATGCGGATTGCCTCGAGCCTGTCGCGAATTGGCATTGTCAAGTGAACGGTCAATTTATTTTCCACTGGGGATCTTCTTGACACCGCAAGTTGAGAATAAGGCTCCGTGGCGGATGGTCCGTACCTGCAAAATTTGGCGGAAAATGTCGTAACGTTCTGCGGACGATTCCCGTTTGATTCGGGCCGGGGCCATGGGCGGCAACTAGAAGCTTTTTTTCTAGGTCTCACAACTTGTTATGAAAGCGAACCAAGCCGGCCCTCGGGGGAGTTCGGGACGGTCAGTTCTACATCAGTTCTACTACGAGGTCTACAGTCTGATTTGAACACAGTTGAAATTATATAATTCTTCATAGGCATCGTGTGCAGCCCAACGTTCGTTTGACTCTTCTTCAACTCCCACGCACAACGGTAATGGTATGGCCCTGTGGCGGACGGTCCGCATCTGCAAAGTGTGGACGGTAACACATTGCTTCTGCAGAGGATGCCTGTTCGATTCAGGCCGGGGCCACACCCTCTGTTATTTTGGATTTCCATCCTACGCACTCGCGGTGTAAATCTGACACCCCAGTAAAAAAAGTGCAGTACCCCTGTTCGATTCAGCGTGGGCCATTCGACAATTTCCGGTCCTTTTTGCAGCCGGCGGCGGAGTGAATTCTAGCAACTCAATCTCACTTCGGCTTGTGTTAGGTTTCAATCGGCCTGTGCGGCGAGCTCGTTGTTGAATCTAACATGAATTTATCGCATCTCAACCGTGACATAGCTGCAACCAGGATGAATGTGGCTCCGTGGCGGATGTCCCGCATCCTCACATCTCGGAGTGTGGGGTATCTCAGAACCGGTTCAATTTTGGGCATGGCGCGGCCCGGTCTCCGATAGACAACTAAGACATTTGCTAGAAAAAAACTAGTACCTGGAATTAATTCACTCTCGAGTCAAATGACCACCGCCTACCACAATGATGTCCTACTGTTGCTTCGTTATAATAGGTCAAAAATATTTGATGGTGCGGGCTGCTCTTTCGGTGTGGTAGTTTCTTTTCTCGGGAGCGGATCGATGTGATTTCCAACATCGAGAGGGAAACCTCAAGTGTGGAATCTCACGCAGGAGACTTGAACCCGGCTGTTCGGGTTACACGTCGAAACACGACGTCCCCAACATTCAGACTTCCCCAAACTTCAAGTTCCCCTCCGCGCGCTAATCGAGAGCCGTGCCTACACTCCTGGGTCCATACCTTCACCTTCTCCATCTCAGCGAGCTTCTGTACATGAATTTAATCCTGCGTTGACTAAAACACACTACCGGGCTGCTAGTTCCGCGGTAGGAGAGGTCACCAACTTTCCTACAGACGGGATTGCTTGTGTCTCAGCTAAGGTACTTGCTACTCAACTCACTTTATTGAAAACATATTCGGGTAACATGATGTAACCCAGTTAGTTTCATGGGTTGACAATGACATGGCTGATAGCGTACAATGCAATTCAATGTATGAGAGAAATCAACCGGCCATGCTAATGTGTATCAGGACAGGTGAAGGTCGTTCCCAACGGCGAATTAAATAGGAATTCATCGTTGAAATAGACCTTTGAATGAATGGATCTTCAGTTTGGCGCGCGGTGAGCCGGGAGAACAACGCACGTCGTTGTATTCAACATCAATGCATTTCCCACCGCCTGTAGGACCCACATGCGGGCAATGAACCTGCCAAAAGTCAGAACGAAACAATTCGGGGTGTTTAAATGTAAAACCCGCCTCCGGTCGAATCTTGGTCAGGAGAACATGAACAATCCGACACACGACATTATCCCCCCACGTCTCGTCCGACCTCCCAAACGGCTTCGCAGCGAGCGTCCGCATGCAACCATCCACGCCGTCATACACTGTATTGGGGCCGACGCAGGTCTGCGCCTGCAACCCACAGATCTCTTGGATGACCTGGCTCATCCCGTCGAGGGTGTATATGTCGAAGCCGTTGATAAATGGGCTGAAGAGATCGAGATCGGGAATCCAGGCATCGTAATAGAGCACGGCGCCTGAGTCGTCGAAACGCCAGAAAGCGATCTAGCCAGAATTGATTAGACATAATAGGCCAGAAGAATATCAAAGTGAGACGATTGTGCAGACCTGCTTTAAAATAGTGATAAATGGCCCCGTCGAATTATCTAGGTTAATCGTGCTGAGTGTTAGATAGACCGTGCTAGCGGCAACCTCCGCAGCACAGATTGTTCGGTTAATAGCTATCTGGGTAGTGAGAGATGAACTCACTTCGGGGCACCCGGAGGTAAACTCAGCAAGCGTCGCTTTGCTGATGGCGCCGTTAGGCGGCGAACCCGTCGGGAGTGGCGCAAGCCCGAAAAAATACTCGAAAGAGTCCTGAAAGCCGAAAAACTCCCCAACTGGTGTGACGCGGCCTGTGGCATTTGCGTTGAAGAGACCAGGAGGGACCGCAGGTGCGCCTTCAGCTATGATCTTTGCGTTGGCCGGAAATACAGTCACTTTGAATTGCTGCGAGTGAGATTGAATGAGCAGGCCAAAAATGGAGTCATGCACGGTTATATATCTTCTGGATGGTGTCGAAGTTTCTCTTGTACCAAGATGGCTGGGAGGCACTCGATAGCACCGCAAGGGTGAGGATGGTCAGTGGAAGGAAGGAGCGCATGGCGTTAACGTTCTGCAACCCACGGTCTGTCTTTATACGGCAGAAAGAACTCGGGATCTGCCGAACAGGACCAGATGTTCGATGAGATATGTATAAACGTCCCACAAATAAGTAAGTAGACAGCTGAAAGAAGACCAGGTGCTTTTGCTGATCCGGCAATGTCGGTATTGTGCCTCTACACCGACGATACCGTACATGAATTGAGTGACAGAAGTTGCTTGAATGCAGCCGATATATTTCCTAGTTTTGCTGCATAGGCTGTGGCAAACATTACTCCAAAGTCCAGTTCCCTTTCACTCGCGTTAACCAGAAGCCACGAAAGAAAGCCTCTCCAAATGCGGCAGTTTCAGCACCCATGGAGGTGCTATCTTTGTGCTACATCGATACTCGGTCCAAATAAGCGCACGTGCGAACGTGCTTCTACTTATTTACTCACGCCGTGATGATCTCTTCGGTCATACGGTGAGCTCTGTATCGCCGAGTCTAAGAGGCATCGCGGTATCCGTAGGAAAGGCCAAGGATGCACGTAAGGATAGATTTGATTGATATACATATTGTGTATGCTCTGTGTTTCCGACGGGATGATAGAGGAGAGCAGGCTAGGGTTAGCTACATCCCAGATAACATTTTTCAACCCAAGAACTCACCTTATCACGATTAAAAAAATCTCCCCCAAGCCCGCTCCGACCCGGCCTTTCGAGCCCGACCCGACCCGACCCGAAGAATACTAGATTCAGGCCGGGGCCATGCCTTCTCTACCTGCTTGTTATTTTTGGATTTTCATCCTACGCACTCGGTGTTCTGACACCGCAGTAAGTAAAAAGACGCAATTTACCACACCCAAACACCCGCTACAGTTTAGCATGAATATGATCCCGTGGCGGATGGTCCGCAGCTGCAAAGTATATTGATGTGCGCGCTGTTTAACTATGCAGACTACCCCTGTTCGATTCAGGGTGGGGCCGTTCGACGGTCGCCGCTACCTTTTGAAGCCGGCGGTGGGGTGAATGCAAGGAATCAATGTCTGGATCGCAGCTCGTTTTATCTGGGTTTCAATCGGCGTGGTTGTGTTCTATACAGCGAGATCGTTGTTAATCCAGTTTTAATTTACCGCACCTCACGGGCTGCACACCAGGATTATTATGGCTCCGTGGCGGATGGTCTGCATCTGCAAAGAATGGAAAGATCGCCAGTAGCATCTCTTTGTAGAATACGCCTGTTCGATTCAGGCCGGAGCCATAACTTGAGTAGGAGCTCCTTTTTTTATTGCAACGGTCAAAACAGTGGGAGTTCGTGGATTATGGGGTACTCCAGCGCAGCTCAGACGCGATAACAAACTAATGCTCGCACATCGTTGTAAACGCAGCCAGCCTTTGAGATTTCGAACTCCAAGTTGACCGTGATTGAACAATTATTTGAGCAGAAGCCGAAGTATGGACAAGTCGTTCCCGCACAAAGAGAACAAAGTCCTCCCCGGAACCAATCCATTGATGTGCAAACACCCAAACACACAAAATCAAAATACAACTGACCAAGTTGCACCGCCATGCCGAGCCTGCCGAACCAAATCCGCCATCAGCCTCTAAACCAAACAAACCTCTTTCCTCTTTTCACCATGCCGCACAAACGCGCCAAACGGTCCATCCGCGAGCAGGACCGGTCTCAAAAGTGCGTCCATCTCTCTCGCTACACGCGCACCACTCACCAGCGCTTCCAGAGGCACGGACCTGGCGCCGAATCGCAGCAAAGACGCGCTGTCGTCGGAGCCGCTGCCCAAGTCGTTCGCGCGGGCGATAAACGCTGCGCAGGTGCGGGCGGACTTTCGGGCGAAGCGGAAGCTTGGCGAGGGTGAGGGTGAAGACGGGCCGAAGAAGGCGAAGCGGAGGAAGGTGGAGGGTAGCGTTGGGGAGGCGAAGATTCGGCCGGGGGAGACGTTGGCGCATTTTAACAAGTACGTGCTCATTTCGTGGCTCGTCTTGGCTCTTTCTACTGGCCGGAATTCTTTCTGGTCCCCCACCGATGGCCTCGCACCCTGATTGCGATTCGGAGTCCTGTCTGTCAGGGATACTGACTGATTGTTTTTTTCTTTTCTTTTCTAGACGGATAGAAACAGACATGCGTCCGCTCGTGCGCTCCGCCGTGCAGTCTTCACTCGCCACCGTGCGCGCCGAGCGCAAGAAGTCCTCTGACCCCACCGCCTCCTCCACACCCTCGAAAACCGCCAAAACCCCCAAATCATCCACATCCACCGCACCTAAATCCACTTCCAATTCCAAGTCGAAATCACAATCCAAAGACGACGACGACGCTCCCGCGCCAATAGACAAACACGCCTCCCGGCCCAAAGAGTTCGCGCGCACCTCCAGCGCCGCACCGCGCCGGCTCAACGACATCGCGCTCGCGCCGCCCGAGCTGTCCGCTCACACGCGCAAGGCCGCGCCGAAGCGACAAGCAGCAAGTCTTCGTCGGTGCTCTCGCCGGCGCAGCAGCTCCAGATGGCTGCGGCGCGCGAGGCGGCGGTCGCACATTACCGAAAGCTCAAGGCGGCGAGGCGCGCTGCGGGTGGGGGCGATGGTGGGGAGCGCGGGGGAGGGGCGGTGGAAGAAGGAGAGGAGTAGACGTGGGTGGTGTGGATTTCGATGGGGATGTTCTGGACTGGGCGACGCTCGTTGGGTGAGATGACGCTTCGGATAGACCTGCACGGTGCCCAGCTATCCAGAGAGCGGCTCCTAGGCTTCAATTTCCCTGGCTAGAGTTCCTGGAGCGGCTGCAGATAGACTGCAAGATTTGGGTCGTTGTCAATGCGTACGAACATCTTCTTTAATTGAATCTCTGCCGTGCGCTTCTTAGGC